TGAGAGACTCCAGAGAAGAGCCACGCGCATGGTCAGAGGTCAGGAAAACAGACCTTATGACGACAGACTGAGAGCTATGGGACTCTTTAGCCTGGAAAAGCGCAGGCTCAGGGGTAATCTGATGGCCACCCATAAGTTTATTGGGGTGTTCACCAGTATCTGGGGGAACGTTTGTTCACCAGAGCGCCCCAAGGGATGACAAGGTTGAATGGTTATAAACTCCTGCAAGACCATTTCAGGCTGGACATAAGGAAGGATTTCTTTACTGTCCGAGCCCCCAAGGTCTGGAATAGCCTGCCATCGGAGGTGGTTCAAGCACCTACATTGAATGCCTTCAAGAGAAATTTAGATGCTTATCTTGCTGGGATCCTATAACTCCAGCTGACTTCCTGCCCTTTGCTCAGGGGGCTGGACTTGATGATCTTCCAAGGTCCCTTCCAGCCCTAATGTCTATGAAATCTATAACATCTATAAAGAGATTGCTGTCTAGCCAGGCCAGTTTCCTGTTTCACTTCCCATTCTTCTGTTGATTTTACACCCTTAATATGGCCTCTTTAAACTACAGACAGCAATCCTAGACTCTTCCTCTCAGACTTCGTTTCCAGGAGATCATGCCTACCAATTCTCTGAGTTTGTTACAGTCTGCTTTTTGAAGTCCAGTATCTTTATTCTGTTCTCTTCCGTTTCTTCCCTTAAGATCTTGAACTCTTATCATTTTGTGATCACTGTCGCCCAAGTTACCTCCATTTTCATATTTTAAAGCAATTCTTCTCTTATTGTGAGCAGCTAGCTGAGAAGAGCTTCCCCCTTAATTGGCCGTCCAGTACTTGTACCAGGAAGTTACCTCCAACATACTCAAGAATTTGCTGGACTGCCTGTGCACTGCTGTTTCCTTGCCAGGAGATGTCTCACTAATTAAATTCCCTCACTGAGCACAATAATGTAACCAGTTATGTAGCCACCTTACAGTACTTTCATCCAGTCTGTATTTCCTTAGATGAGATGAAAGATGGGTGCTGTGATTTGGAAACTTCTATTAGTTGTTTAAGCAGGTCTCATCTGCTTTTTCTTGGTTTGGTGGTATAAAACAGATGTTCACTATGATATCCCCCTGCTGTCTCCTTTGACCTTTACCCAAAAGCTTTCAGCAGGCCTGCCTTCCACTTTGTACTGAGCCTCACAATATGTGTACTTCTCTTTTATATTTAAGGCAACATTTCCTTTTTTCCCTTGCCTGTCCTTCTTGAATAAGTTGTACTCATCCATCACAGTATTCCACTCTTGTGAACTATCCCACCCGTACTTAGACCATCAGTTCTTTCTGCTTATTCCCTATGTTTCTCTCATTAATATATAAACATAATAGGTAACTAACTGATTGTCCTACTTTTTCTTTATCATTGATAAAGAATAACATAAAATCCTTAGACGGTTGAATGCTTCAGAGTGATTAAAGTTAATCTAATAATTTCTTAGCTATTTAGAGTTAGAGTTCTAGCCCTTTACTAAAAGGATATTATCAGTCCCATATTTTTGTCTTATAATGTGCTGGAAGATTACTGCTATCAAATAGCTTTATTGTTGCTGTTGTTCATGATGATGATGATAATTATGATCCGCAGGAGTGTTTGACTTGAAAAATGATAAAAAGGGACTACAAAAGTTTGGACAATCAGGAACATACCATATTTATTTCAGTATAACACTCATACCTCTCCCCCCCCCCAAAAAAAAATTAGCTGCCGGAAATTGGGGGTATGTGTCTTAAATGAGGAAAAGAAAATCTTTGAATCCCAAGTGGAACTGATTTCTAACATACTGGAGGAATGTGCTAGTCTTCTCACGCAGTATATCTAGTGTAGTTAACAACAGTCAAGATGCAACAGAATAGGTTACGTCAGGTCACACTCACTTACTAAAATACAGCAGTGATTTGTTCCTAATTGAAATAAATATAAATATTTAGTATTATATTTCTATTGTACATACACTTATCAGATTCAAGAAGTTTCTGCCGTCAATCTCTTGTTTACAAAATGGAGGAGCTATATGTAGGCATCAGCTCAGCTAATGATATGAAATGGATCTCATAAGTATCTTGTCTATCTGCTCTCAATAATAGAAAACAGGTTTCCAAAACTTTTCAGGTTGTCTGGAATCTGATAAATGTATGTAAAATATAAATATAAGACTAGATACTTATTTCAAATTAGGAACAAACCATTGTTGTATTTTCATAAGCAAGTGAGACCTCACTTAGCCTATTCTGCTGCATCTTGACTGTTGCTAGCCACACTAGCTACATTGCATGAGTATATAAGCACATTCCAGTCACACCTTTATTCTGCTGTGCAAACATATGCCCAGTTAAAAATCTGTTTGGTGCTATCAGTTCTGTAAGTCTTGTGAAATGGATGGAAAAATCCCTGCCCTTGTTCTGTGCTAACTTGTACACTATTAGTAAACCAGTGCACTGAAATTGGTGTCAATTTGCTAAGTTAGCCTCTCAGGTTTGAAGTGACTTTTGCAACCAATCTAAAAGTATTGTGCATGTCTAAACGTGCATAACAATTGTAACATAGCTATGTTTGTGTGCTTGGCATATGTATGACAGTGATCAAATTTGCAGATAATATCAGAGGGAGAGGTGAACACATAGGAGTAGAGAAGTAAATGACAAAATAATGAGTGGCTATTAGAAAAAAAGGAATTGCAAGAAAAAAGGAGCTTTGCTTAATTGTAAATTCTCCTACCTAGAGAAAGGAAATAAGCAGGATAGCTATATGATGCAACTGTGATCATGGAACGGCAGCTATTGCATAAAAAAGAAATTATTTTCCTCTTCTCTGATTAATGCTGACCTCATATTGCTTGCCAACACAAACAAGCTTCCTAGACGTAATTGCAAGCTACTAGAATCACTGTGGGATCAAAATATGGGGAAACAAAGTGTGGGGTTCTGGGGGGGTTGTGGTTTTAAAGTGGTCTGGATAGATGGCAGGAGTGTTTCAGGAATACTATCAGTTGATATTAATAAACATTGAAAGAGAAGTTCCTGAGGGCCAGAAGCAGATTTTCTGCAGATTTGCTCCATTGCTTCTAGATAGTCTCTCAGGGGAGCAGAAGGAAACTGTGCTGGTTCCTAGCATTTTCTTCTCCCCCATCAATATTTGATTTGTCTAATGTTTGCATAAATTGCATCTGTCCTTTGCTCTTAACAAGATTTTGGGTGCTTTTCCTTTTAACAAGATTTTAAAGAGGATCATGGTGTTGCTTCTGCTGTGTAATAATGGATAATTTTCATGATGAGATTTCATTAGAAAATAATTTATGATGTATCTTTCCATTACACCTTAAGTGCCTTGCTTGACTGAAGCAGAAACATGGTACAACCACTATACAGGAATGAAGAAATCCATGTGAAACTGCATGGTTGTTTTTAACAGACAATCCCTTAACACCAATTTTACTATTTCAAATACTTCCACAATTTTTAGGGTCAGTTTTTTTATTTGTATCTAGACAACCTTTTCTTAAATTGTTTCTTGATTATCTATGTTAATGCTGGATAAAATACCACTGGCAGTGTACAGTCTGTGACAGATAAGATTGAGTACACCTCTTTTAAAACTGTGTGTAGAAAGCTCTTGGGCAGAGAATGAGGCCTGAATAATGGTGCAAAACAAAGTATATGCAGAGGAAACATTGTAAGTAGGAGGAGTATAATGAATAAAAAAAAAAAGCAGGGGATATAAAAGCAGAGGTATAAACTGGTGCTATTATGCAGAACCTTGGGGGAAAAAAACAAAGACCTTAAAAATGAGAAAGGCAGCAAGTAGATGGATTTCAATGGATACTGAGGTTAAAATACCAGGAAAGAGAAAAGAGTTTAGCAACACCAGAAAATATATATTAGGTTTAGAAAGCTGTTGCTTAGATAGGGGTCAACTACCCATGAACATGAGTCAGAGTCTGAGATGTAAACGGAGTGTGACATGTATATGATATGACTGGACCAATGGTATGGTTCTGAATGGAAAAAACAAAAATATGCCATTTATCAGAATAGCAGAGGCAGCTAAAGATAGATTACTCTGTAACAGGGACTAGAATTACTTGAGAGAGAATACCTGGAAGATGTTAAATCCAAAGAATTATGTCTCTAGTCAGAAATGAAGAATGCAAACTATAGCAGGTATGCCATGGGTATAAGTGTGCACAGTTACAATTTGTATTGTGTGTACCTTTTTCAACCTTACTTTATAAAGCACAGTTTCCCACCTCAAAAGACATATACTTAAATTAATTCAGTGATTTCTTGCTGGCTTTCTGTGTAAATTCATAACAATTCAATTGAAAAAAAAATCAGGCTACTCAAGTCAGTTGCATGCGTCCTATATTGTAAAATCAGGCATCAGTGTTCCTGGTCTAAAAAAAAAGAGTCCATATACATCTCTTTTACTGAGATTGTGGGATCTCCTGTAACCATAAGTTAATCCATTGATTCTGCACAAAAACAACAGTAGTTTTTTCTGGGTGCATCTACACGTGCCCCTACAGTGCCGTTGCTACTGTCCTGTCATTTAATACGTCTTTTTGGAAGTACTAAATGATGGCACAGTGATTGCCTGTACTGCACCATGCACACAGCTCGTGGTTATTTTTAGCTGCTATGTCTCCATAGTGATGCATGATACTGAAGGATTGTGTTACTATGGTGGCATAGATGTGGCATCACGGTTTTTGCCCATGGATGCTATGTAGTTTTTAGCGCATTGCTATGGCGATACAGCGTCACACATAGGTGCACCCTCTGTGTGTTACATTTACAGCAATTCAGAACCCTGTTTGAAGAGTGCCATGGGTACATTTTCTAAACTAAAAATACGTTTTTCCTTCTAGGTTCTGACATTGTTCAGTGGTTAACGAAGAATTTATCAATAGAAGACCCAGGTAATTTTCATCCTCTATCAAAATTCTGGATTGTGTGTCTATGATGTATACTGTTTCTTTTTTTTTTCTGTTTCAGTTAGTATGACCTGGCAAAATTTGGCCCATGGATTTTCAACTGTTCATTTTTACAAGCAGAGCACACAGCAGCCAGTTTAGTGGAGCTTCCTTAAAGATCAGACTGTTTCTGAAGCCCAGTTTATTTGGACACCCTCCACTAAACAAGACAATGTTCAGTAAATGCAATAAAGGGTTGCTTTAATTGGGGATGTACAAGTACAAATTCAACTCCATGGGGACATGTTCACCTAATGCCATTTTAAATGGCATCTAGACAGATGTTAAACAGCTGAGACATTTTGTGTTTTCTTAAAGCAGAATTTACCAACAGTATAAAGAGTATACAATACATACCATTATTATTCTTGTTCTCTTGGTCTGTACAGGGTTGTGTATTAAATATATGGGTCTGCTCTTTTAATGGGATTTTAATTGAAAGAAAAGGAAAAAATATGAACAGAAAGATAGGATCCATGTGGCCTGGTAAATGGATCAAGGAACCCCTAAGGCCATTGCTTAGGGAGATAGGCTAGGAATTGAAAGATCTGGTTTCAGTTTCATACACTGCTGTGTAACATTAGCCAAGGCTGGCAGTCTCTGTACCTCAGTTCCTCTTTTGGAAATATAGGAGGCATGTTGTAAGCTGGTCAGGGATTTTCCCGTGGAACATTTTTTCCAACAGAAGATATTGATTCACAAAACAGCAAAGTGTAGTGCGTGGAAGTGTCATTGCAGTATTATTTTGGGGTGGGAGAAAAGGATTCAATATTCTGAGAAGGTTGAAATGCTCTTTGTCTAAATGTTTCTGTTGTTTTTAACATTTTGAAATGTAATGCTTTAATTTTTTTTTGTGGAAATTTTCTCATTTTTATTTCCTTTTGAAATGTTGTGGGGACTTTTTTTGTTCTATTTTAGAAGAGGAAAAAAAATATGGAATTTCCGAAGTAAAGGAAATTCCAGTTCTCTTTTATAAGAACATGAGAACTGTCAACAGTAGGTTAGGCCATGGGTTCAACTAGCTCAGTATCCCGTCTTACACAGTGGCAGAGAGTGGATGTTGATGGGGGAGAGTAAACAGGCAATATCCAGAATATTCAACCCCAGTTTCCAGCGTTCAGCTTTAATAAATATATTAAAGAATGTACCATGATAATGGGTACTACAAAAGTCCCCAATGTAGATGCTTGAAAGCAGCCAACTCAGCATTGTCACAGCAAAGGAGAAATTATTAGTTGCTTCCAAGTCAACGTAACTTCACCTTCTTCAGTTACCAATTCATTTTAATCAAAGAAACAGTGGTTGGATGCCTGACTTCTATTCATCATGGTCAACACACCTAATGAAATGAGAACACTTGAGACATGGCTTTGAACTGCTGGCACTCCTATTGCCTTGTTTGTCAGGAACAACATGGTCACCTATCTATTTTTATTACATTTTGAAGCTTCATTTTTCTTACTATTTGGCTGAGATGGAACTATGGCTTTGAGTTGTCAAACAGCAATGATTTGTTACAGTAGCAGTAACTGATTTTTTTTTAACTGCAGTATAGGGATAGGTTATCATTCAGCTTATCTGATGAGAACTGAGAAGCACAGAAAGGAAGAAGTCTTAAACTATGAGAAAAATATGGTTCCCTTTATTAATATGTGATTTTAAAAGGCCCCTTAGATACATTTTACTACATTTAGTAAGGCATTTGAAGAGAATTAGGTTTTGGTAGTGTCTTACGTCCTACTACTAGGGTAGGGGAAGAAGAAAACTGACCCACAAAGCCAAAGGGTGTTATCTTTATTGCATTTCATTACTGCAAACCAAAGGGCAAACCAATCTGGGACTGGCTAGCTGCTCTTATGTAGGGGTAGAGATTCAAAATGTAACATTTACTAATGTGATACACCATTCTGCACCTAACACTATTACAAGTGGTTCAAAATTTCCCCAAAGAACCAAGAAATATTGATTCGACTATATTGAAATATATATTTTACTAAATTTACGGGCAGCTATTAAACCACTTCATTCCATGTTGACTCATGTTTTATATTAATACAAAAGTCAAAGTATTTCCAGAACAAAACCAAGTACTTCCAGAATATTTTATTTCACAACAATTTATCAGATACACATTTTTCATTCCAATTCTGGAGAAGACCAAAGTTCAAAATCTGGATTTCCTTTGCAACAGTAACTCTGAATGTTGATGGGCAATAATCGTCATAAAAAATATCTATCTTCATAACTCCAAGGTTAAATTAATTTAATTTTCACAGGTTTCTCTAAGTTGCTCAGATTGAACCAATAATGAAATGAATGGATGTTCACTTTTGAATCCAGAAAGGCAGCCAGATGCCAGCAGTGGCCCAGGTCAGAAACCAGGGGGTGCTACAACATGCTTCCCAGCCTGCCAGCCACTGCTGAGTGTACCTGAATGCAGCCAAGCTGGTCCCATCCCTGATTGGCTGCCCAGCACACAACCCCAACCCCCTACCCCGCACAGGGTGGGGAACAGGCCCGCCAGCTCGGGGCCCCAGCTGGTGCTCTGCATCAACCCATGTGGGGGTGTCTCTGGGTCTCATCAGGGAGCTCCCCCACCCCAGGCAGGGTCCCCCAAGCCCTGCTACCCATATAGAGGGGGAATTCCCTTCTCCCATCCCTCCATGCAGTCTGGTGCTGGCTCAGACCCAGGCTGGAGGACCTGTTCCCCCAAACACATGTGGAGGTGGGGCTAAGCCAGCACTCAACTGTGCTGAGATGGGGGAAGGGAGATTTCCCCTTCTGTGCTGGCAGCAGGGTTCAGGGAGCCCTGCCCAAGGCAGGGAAACCCCTTTTAACAATTTTTAATTGGGGTGAATTGGTAAAAAATCTAAACAAACCCTTGGGTCACTCCATTGTGGGGGGGCTTGCACGCCAGGGCTCATGGCAGGGGCTGGGTAGGGGTGGAGTCCATTACCTTGCCTCCCCCCTGCCCCACGAGGCTGACAGGTACAAGCAGGACTAGGGCTGCAGAAGAAAGGTTTTGCTGTCTCAGCTCTGTGTCAACCTGGGGGTGGTACTGGCCCTTTTTGGCTGGAGCAGACAGCATGGGCCAATCTTAGCCTGCCCACCCTGTGAGTGGGAGGGAGGGAGAGGATGTGGGGGAGTTACAAGGGAGGTGCAAAGCATTCTGGTGTGCTGGGAGATTATGAGTTAACTTGTTCCCAGAACAGGTCTGGGACAGAAGTTCGATAGACTTGTTTAACCTAAGTTAGTTAAGTTTGTACTACATTCATCAAGGTCTATCTTAAGCTGGCTTTGGCCATTTTGAGACAGCTTTATGTGCACTGAACAGTTTCTGTTCTGTTACAGGTTTAAACTGGTTTCCTGTCACTTAAACTGGTTTATGTATAGTGTCTGTCCCTAGAAATTCCCTGCATCTTCAATCCACCGTTGCATAATTTGCCAGAGTTATACTATATCTCAAGGAGAACAATGGTTATCAGTAAAATTATATCTCAGGGCATTAGAAAGCTCTTATGAATACACAAGATAACATAATAAAGGAAAAATTGTGTTCTTCAGAGGGAAGCTGATGTTGCTGGTCTTGGCTTAGTCAGGTTCTAAGTCAGGGCAGGAGACCAGAATGTATTTTTGTTCCTAGACTATGAAATTATTCTCTGGTTTAAGTAGCACTCATTGGCTTCCCTGGTACAGTGACAGCTGGTTCCAATCAGTTGTGCACATATATTTCCTGCAGCCTATCACCACTTTGCCTGAAGCCCTTCTGGGTCAAGGTGTGCAAGGAGATACTGTAAATGACTTTCTGCACAAGATCTCCGAGCCTCCCTCCTCAATGGTCCTTCATCATATTTGCTGCATCTTGAGTCCTCCCCATCTACAAGTGATTGGCAGAGTATTGTCCTCTTCTTTTAAAGCAGACCTTCCCACAGCCTCATCTCATCCACCTGGCTGAGCATGCCCAGGTTGCTGGGGTCCCAGGCCAGTCTCCATAGAGACCCCAGGGCTGGGGCTGGGCCAGGATCTCCAGGCCCTGGGACAGAGACACTTAGGGAGTTTTGGTGAGCTATTACATGTGGTGGGGCAGGTGCTGACCTGGCCCACGACAACTCACCAAAACTCCCTAAGTGGACCTCCAGCCCAAATAATTGCCTGTCCCTGATACAGGGTCTTGAATAATGGTAGAGTATACGGGGGCACCATTTGTTTTCATTATGTCAAAAAGCATAAAAGTGTTTTCTGAAAACAGTACTTTGAAAAAAATAGTGCAAGTATAATCTTTCAGAAAAAAAAATTACTGCATAGTGCTTGTATATGGGAAATAATTTACCGTAGTAAATCAGTTTGTAGTATAGCTGAGCTCCCTGTTTCCTGAAACTTAAGACTTGCAGTAAAGGAAATCTCTGTCAAGAAAGCAAACGAGATAGGGGAGGTTAGACCATGCCCAATCATTCTATATTTGAAGTTATTCCTGCAGAATAGAGCAGTATTTGTTGCCAGTATAGCCATGTTCATTGCATGGCTGCGGCTTTATTTTCTGCTTTTCTTCATGCCTCTTTTTAAACATTTGTGTTTGATTTGAGGCCTACTACCTAATTTTAAAAGACTAAAAGTTATCAAAATTATTTTGAGTGTTGAGACTTGGTTGTGTCATAGGAACATGCCTGGCCTCTATGCAAACTAAAGCAATTAACTGAGTTTACAGAATTGTACAAGCTTGCACTCAGGCACTTGGGCATTTGTTTGCTAAATTGACCATTATAGGGTAAGTGTTGACTCTTCAGTAATGTCGCCAATTACCTTTAATGTGGAAAATCTACTTTGCTCTTTTTTCAAACTGATAATTAGCACTGTGAAGTGTACCAAATTTGACCACACTAGAGAATAAAGTTCTTTTAATCCAGGGTGGGAGAGGAGGGAGAGGAAGAGGCTAAGAAGAAGGAAGC